ACGCTGCTGCTACTACAGTGGTACCTCTAGTTACGAACTTAATTTGTTCCGGAGGTCCGTTCTTAACCTGAAACTAGAGGCGTGCTTTCACTAATGGGGCCTCTTGCTGCCGCTGCGCCGCCAGCACATGATTTTCGTTCTCATCCTGGGGCAAAGTTCTCAATTCGAGGTAACTCTTCCAGGTTAGTGGAGTAACCTGAGACGTTTGTAACTTGAGGTACCACTGTACTGCCATATAGAAGAACATTCAAAAATACGATTCTCCTCTAGTACAAGTCCTGCTTGTAGGCTTCCCACAGACATCTGCCTGGCCACCGTGAGAACAGCCTGCTGGATTAGTTGGGCCTTTGTTCTGATCCAGTTGGGCTCTTCTTATGTAAAGTGGTAATGGCTATTCTACCACTTAGGAACTCTTATCACTTAATTCTTCTGCACATGTAGATGCAGACCACATACCATGAGAGGTATATGCACATGAAGCTGCTAACTTTGCTCAAACTCTCCACCTCCTTTGTGATCAATAGATTATAGCACACCACACTGCATGCAAAGCCTTCATAGAGACAGAAGAAGCAGGTAGCAAAGTAAAATGTTATCATCCCCCTTCCCATCTGCTGGTGCATCTCTGGTAGGACAGGACCCTTCTCCTTTCAGCTACCACTACCCTGTAAGGAAGAAGCAGCTAATGAGACAAAATGTCACCATCACTATATAGTTAAATAGGACAGTTAAAAACCACACACTTCTATTTTTTTTAAATGATTGATTTTTAAATAAACATGTAAGCCACTCTTGGAGCTGTGTCACCTAAAGGTCAAAGATAAATAAAATACACCACACAATGTGGCTCCTGTCCCACTGACTCAGATGAATGTATGAACCGCTTTGATTAAAATATTATAACTTATATGAAACTGGTGCCTCTACTGGCTTTCATACTTGTGACTCATTGACTGATGTTATAAGCCCTATTTGGGCATTCTTTGTTCCTCTGTAGAACAAGGAGTGAGGCCTTGCTAAGTATTCCTTGGCATTACATGTGTTCCTCTGCAGCAAGGGAGCCTTCATTGATTGAAGGCAATACTGATCACATTTACCCAGCCTTTAGGAAGGTATTTGAAATCACCCATTAATGTACCGTATTTTTCGCACCATAGGACGCACTTTTTCCCTCCTAAAAAGCAAGGGAAAATGTGTGTGCGTCCTATGGAGCGAATGCAGGGGGGAGGCAGGCGGGAAAAGCCCTCAAGAGCCGCATACAAGTTTCGTGCGCTCTTGCGGGCTTTTCTCCAGGAGGGAGAAGGGACTGACTGGCTGTAGCAGTCCCTTCTCCCTCCTGGGGGAAAAGCCCCCAAGAGCAGCGCCCTCTTTAAAGGCTGTGCGGCTCCTGCAGGCTTTTCTACGAGGTGGGGGAATCCCCCCACCTCCCAGAAAAGCCAGGAGAAGCCGCACCGCCCCTTTAAAGAGAGTGCGGCTTCTGCGGGAGGTGGGGGAAGCTGCAGCAGATTCCCTCCTCCCGTGCTTCCTTTGAGGCGGCAATGTGGGAGGGGAGCAGCTTACACTCGTGTAAGCAGTTCCTCTCCCACTTTCCTCCTTCAAAGCAACTACGGAGAAGGGAAGGAAGAGGACCATGGATCCTCCGCTGCTGGAGGCTTCAGCAGATTCCCCCCTCCGTGATTGCTTTGAAGCGGCAATGTGGGAGGGGAGCAGCTTACACTCGTGTAAGCAGCTCCTCTCCCACTTTCCTCCTTCAAAGCAACTACGGAGGAGGGAAGGAAGGGGACCATGGATCCTCCGCTGCTGGAGGCTTCAGCAGATTCCCCCCCCTCCGTGATTGCTTTGAAGCAGGAAAGTGGGAGGGGAGCAGCTTACACTCGTGTAAGCACCTCCTCTCCCACTTTCTTCCTTCAAAGCAACTACGGAGGAGGGAAGAAAGGGGACCATACATCCTCCGCTGATCACAGCTGCAGTGGATTCCTCCTCCGTGATTGCTGGGAGCTTCTCTTGGCAGGAATTCCCCCAGCTTAAGTGGGGTGGGGGAAGTGTGGCAGGTAGGGGGGTACCTACCTAGACACTGAAGCCACATGTCTCTCAGATGAAAATTGGGAGTGGGCATTGTGTGAAGTGGCTGTGGATCTCCTGCCGCAGAACTGTAGGACTGTATAGAGTTGGGAGGGCCACCCGAGGGTCATCTAGCCCAGCCCCCTCACAATGTAGGAATCACAGCTAAAGAATGCCAGGCAGATGGTCCCCCAACCGCTGCTTAAAAGCCTCCAGTGGTGGAGACCCCAAACACCTTCTGAGGTCATAGAATTGCAGGGTTGGAAGGGAACCCCAGGAGTCATCTAGTCCAGCCCCGGTGGACAGCAGGCGCAATCCATCCCATTGCACAAGACTAAAGATGCGGCGCAAGGCTAAAGAAGAAGCCAAGGCAGCGAGCGGGATGGATCGCGCTTGCTGCCTTGTCTTCTTCTTTAGCTGCACTGGAGAGGTTTAGCTCCTGGCTGGAGAGGTTGCGCGACTATGGACCCCGCGCGCTGTCTTGGCTTCTTTGCTCTTTGGGGCTGGGGGGGGGAACCCGGGCTTCCCCCGCAGCCCCGAGAAGCTCTGGGAGAAGTGGACAGGCTGCATGCAGCCTGTCCGTTGCTCTTTGGGGCTGGGGGGGGAGATAATATTTTTTCCCTTGATTTCCCCCTCTAAAAACTAGGTGCGTCCTGTGGTCCGGTGCGTCCAATAGAGCGAAAAATACGGTAACTCTTCCTACTTGGGATACCTCATTGATTTTATTCTCCATCTCAAGTACCCCCTGCACTTAATTAATTTTGATACTGATACTACCACTGAGTGATTCTATGAAGGAGTCTACACCTCTGAAAATTTCTAATTTGTTGGACGTCTATGCCCTCTTTGTTATACAGAGCAACGTGACTTCCAAAATGCCTTCCTTTAGAGAAGAGATGGGGAATTAGACTCACCATTTAAATCCTGAAGGCCAACTGACAGGTGGGCAGCAGAAGGCCACCCACCCTTTAAAGTCAATTTTCAGGTGCAGTTTGGATTCAAACCATACCAGCAAACAAATCAGCACCGACAGTGAGCCCCCTCAGCTGTCCTATGCAGTTTTTGATTGGGAACTTCTCCTTGCAGTTGATTCCAGTAGCTCCACGTGCAAAAGAACATGTACCTACCAACCCTACACTTGATGTCACGTCAGCTGTGGGGCAGATGAGCAAGGTTTGAGGAAAACAGTCCCATGGGCCCAAATGGGACCCATATCTGGGCCTAACTAAGCCCATAGGGTGGAAGTTACCCCTTTATAGTGTTTGTACAGAAAGATAACCATGACCCACTGGTTCTCTCCACCAGGTTGGATATATGTTCATTATATCTATGCTCTCCTTTAAAACTAAGCACTCCAGCTCAGCCATTTGGTCCAGAAGGCTCCAGCATTAGTATATAAACAGTGTCTCTCACCATGTGTTTTACCCGAGGGACCTTTAGCCTCTTTGAATTCTCCCCCTCGACTTCCATTGCATAGTTCTAACCCTCTCCAGTTTGGACAATCATAAACATCATAAACGATTGGACTACATAACCTGTAGACTCCTTTCTAAAACTCTAACTATGCATAGAATTGCACTGTTAACCATGTCCAAAACAACATTGGCTTTCTATCACACGTATTACCACTTCTTCCTTTATCATGTGCTAATATTGCTACTTCTGGCCATTTATTCCCCAGCCCGACTAGTTTTATGGTAAACTCTTTAGATAGTGTGTTTTTCCCCTCTCCTGCACAGGAGCAGATGAACCAGCCATGCAGTATAATTAGTGTTCTGGCCCATTCACTTGTGAGATTAGCGTGAGAGCTGAACGAAGCTATCATATTCCTGTACACTGTAGATGCAAGGAGAGAGAGAGCGAGAGTGTGTGTGCGCGCGCGCGCCCCGCCCCCCTAACTTCTCTCTTGAGCACGAGCTCTGCGAAAAGACGTTTGCGAAAAAAGTTTGGGGTGGAATAGTGCCAGCTGTCTTTAGTTGTGGGAAGTTTCGGGGGTGGGTTATATTCACACACACAGGTACCCCTCACTTAGTCTGAAGCGATAGGGGCCAGAATTCTACCATCTCACTTTCCTGCGCGCGCAGGAAGACAAGCGACGACGGATGAAAGGTCGCGCGACCCTTCCGCTAGGACTAACGCGGCCCCGCCCACCCGCACTCAGCCAGCCAATCAGGAGGTGCACGGGCGCGGTTGCGTCAACGGGTTCAGTGAAGCGAGAAGCCCTTAGCTTAAAGTCCGCTGTGGTGGGAAATGGCGGTGCCTTTTTAATGGGCGGGGCGGGGCTAGTGACGTTAATAACGGCCCATTAAAGCAAAACGTTTCTAAAATATTCAGCCGCCCCTGCGGAGCCGTTTCTGTCATTCGGCACATCCTCGGCAACGGGCCCCAGATACTAAACAAATCCGTCTGGGCGCGCACGCGCCTTAGACGGCAGCAGACTCAGGGATTCCCACCGTGTGCGGCGAAAAGGGGATGAGAGGATAAAGGATGCGAGGCGACCAACGGCGGCAGTTTGAGAACGGAACCTCCTCCGGCCTGCGCCTGCGCGTGATCACGTAACGGTTCTTACGGCGGCGTCTACTGAGGGTGAGGGGCGGGGTGGGATCCTCCAGGCGCACGCGCAGTACCGGATAGCGGTGGACTGGGGGCGTGGCCAGACGGTAAGGAAGGGGGAATCAGCTGACTCTGCCGCGTCGGATTGAGGGACGTTTCATCGGCGGAAGGAGGGACGACCACCCCGGTTTGAGGGAGGTGCCATGGCGACCACTGTTAGCACTCAGAGGGGCCCGGTGAGTACTGGCCGCTGCTGTGACTGACGAAGCGTCCCCTGGGGCCCCGTCCCGCTCCCCGCTCCTGACTCCGGGACCTTCTCCTCGAGGGTGTGGCGAGGGGGCGCTCCTGTTTGCCCCACGGAGGGTTAGGCCGACGGTTCCGTTTACCTGCGTGGGCCGAGAGGGCCCCCTCAGCTCCCTTCATCTTCGGCCCCTCCAGGGCGGAGGGATGGGGCGGACCATGTGTCCGCTTCATTTCCCTCCGCCCGGCCGCTCCTTGTGACACGCGCGAAAATGGTCTTGCCCCGTCGTCATGCCTCTTTCCTCACTCTTTCCCCCCTCTTCCTCCGCCTCTGTCTTAACCACGCCGGGTAAGTGGGCGAGCAAGGGAAGGGAATGCGAGAAACAGCCAGGCCGAACTAAGGAAATCCCGTTTTATAAGAAGAGGACGGTTTTCCGTCATTCCTCGCATCGGTATGTAATTCTGTCCTTGGCAGTGTAATGTGTAAGCTGCAAATAGGAGCTTCTCTCGGCTGGGGGGCGCGTATTTGCAAAAACAAGACTTTCACAAACTTTGGTACGTATTTGAAATCCATGCTTTCCCCCCTCTTGGCTGAGAAAGTCCTAGCGCAGCGTACCGGCTTTTTAAACTGAGAGTGGCTTCGTGGAAGGCTTCAAAAGAGTCTATGTTATGTTTGTGAATGTAGGTCTGTATTTGTGCAAAAGGACACCTGGATTTTGCTGTAAGGGAGCTTTATTTATTCTGACATACACGTCAGAAGTGGATGAACATCCTGAAAGCTTGTGTCATATGGTCTGCATACCGGTACTGGCTTTCCCCTTTGCAGAACATTTAACACAAAAGTATTAAGTACTACCAATTGCAAATTATAGTCTTCCTTCTTAAAAAAAAAAGTAACCAGGAAGAAGGGTTTATCATTCAAACATTTAAAATAAATACATGATAAATTAAGTTAAAAAACCATTTTTGAAGAAGTCTTGGCCTGTAACCTATAGGACATTTCATTACATAGTGAATACATAGTATGTGAATTGGCCTTTGCCCATGTACACAATGAAGTATGTACTTTATCTTTCGCTTCCACAGGCATTTGGGAAGTTGTGGCTTGACAAAATACTTAAGATCATAGAAGCTAGTCAGCCATTTTCTATTTCCTATCAGTCCTGTTTTCTGTAGATCTCTTGATTTGCTCCTTGATTTTTTTTCTAATTCTTATTTGCGCCCGGGAGTTAGCACTAAAGGGGCTTGTATTTGCATGTTGGCTAACTTGACATTTTTGAAATTACAGGGAATTATATACAAATGAAGTGCAAATAAAATCACATAGTAGGGGTTATACAGCAATACATACATATATTCTTCAGGGGTGTTTGTGTGAATACAGCATTTTAGTATCCCCCCCCCCCCCAGTGATAACAGTATTGTTAATGTCTGGAGCCAAAATAATCTTTTAATAACCCCTCCCTCTTTGCATTTTTTCCTTGTAGAAGACCTGCTTGCCTTGCATTTCCTCTCCAGTATTCAAACCATTGTATTTAGTCTCCTTGGATTACTTGATTCTGTATTTGATACAAAAAATTATAAGACTCTTGTCTGGATCATATTTTCATGTCTTGACAGATTTTTGGTGCAGAGGGAGACTTGAGACAGTGATGCATAAGCATTCTATTCTGCCAGGTGGCTGCAGTGCCAAAACAAGTACTGCTAGTTCCTCGTATATTTTAGAAGGCAGTTTCTAGAAGTGTAGTGTAACCACATAGCCACTGAAGGATGCTAAAGAGCTAAGTTTTTCTTCTCATTACAAAGCTGTGATAGTGTCTTCTGCCCTAGGGGAAATCTGTATTTAAAAGATGATGTATTTCTGACAGTTCACATATATGGAATTCCAACACATTATTTGTGCTACTCTGGCCACAGTTTTACATTTTTCTTATTGTTTTAATAAAATTTTTATTAATTTTTAAAAATGCCAAAACTGAAATCTTACCAGTGTACTGTGTACAGACAACTGTAGAGGGTCAGATTTGTCTGCAGGTCATCTCCCTTGATTAATTATTTTTTGGTGTCGACAGTAGTGGCCATTCAAATACATTGTCAAGAACTGAACTGTAAATATGATGGGTTTAAACAATTGTTGTTCACAATAGTTGAACCTGAAGAGGCAAGAAGGTCATAGACTCTGTCTATATGTCCGCCTGTCCCTGATCAGCTCATGCAGGCTTCTCCTTACAAACAGATAACTGTAGATAATTTTGGCAGCAAATAGCCCCAGATGAAGGATCTGCATTTTTAGGGGTTGCTTTGTTCTCTACACATTAGTCTGAAGGCCAGAACTACTTGACCCATTACAGATAGAATTGGCAGAAAGGCCTTTGTAGATACATCCTTGTAGAGTATTAGATCTGTTAATTTTTGGAAGGCTGATGAATGACTGCTTCCTCCAAGATTACATCAAAACGCAGGTTAGCAGTGACCCATTGCTTTTCCAGAATGTGCATGATAGTGCTGCAATGTAAACTTTGTGGAAAGCAATATATTGTATTCATGACAGTTTCTTCCCTTGTGCATGCTTCCACTTAAGAGAAAACAATCTCTTAACACATTTTCACTATAACTCAATATCATTCCAGGGCACAAATACAGTTGCTTCCACCACTATTATTACTGTCTACACCTGTTCTTGATGACCCACCCTCAGCTAAAAATTCTTTACCATGGCCCAAATCCTATTGAATTCACTGAGATTAATATATTGAGTATATACTGTCAAATGCACAAGCCAAAGCGCACATTGCAGGGGGAAAAACAATGACTCAAATTACAAGCTGTGGCTAAGTTCATAATAGTTTTGGTTTACAGTCTCTCAGTATTACTGCATGGATGTTATCTTGTCTCTTTAAAATGTCATTAGTGTGAGAAGCACACACTAAGATGATTGAGCGGGTGGTTGCTGAACAACTCCAAGCATGCCTGGAGGATGTGGACCATTTGGATCCCTTCCAGTCTGGATTCAGGTCTCATTATGGGACTGAAACTGCCTCGGTCGTGCTGGTTGATGATCTCTGATGGGCCCCCAGGCTAGGGACAGAGGTGAAAGCTGTTTCCTAGTTCTGCTGGATCTCTCAGTGGCCTTTGATACCATCGGCCATGACATAAAAATAAACTTTGCCCTGTTGTTTAAGCCTCTTTCCTCCCTTCTCCCCTTCTGTGTCTGCATCTCCCTTGTGTCTGTCTCCCTTCTCATCTCTATATACTGTAGTTCCATCCTTACTTAAGACATTGTGATATCTCAAAATCACAGTGTTTATCGCCCAGCCCTACTTTTTACACAGGTTATTTTTTAATTATTGTTTTAATAAATAATGAAAATAGGCTGGCCATCTTTTAAAAATCTTGTTCTTGGCTAAGGCGGCAGTGTTTTGAGTTCTGTTTTGTTGTATTTTTGTACCTCCCTTTCTTTACATCATAACTTTGTGTTTCAGTTTTTACCTTCTTTATTGTGTGCCATCCTGAGTATGCTGTGGGATGACCTGCAAATGTAATAAAAATGCTATTTTACAGAATCTGAATTGGTGCCATTTCAGAAGGTGTAAAGTATGATACATCTGATCATAGCAGCTCCTTTTAAAACCAATAGTGCAGCTACAGTGACAGCAAAGGTTTACACTCAATTATCTGGGAGAAATAAGCCAGAGTTCAATGGGGGTTGCATTCAAATAAGTGTGAGGTTTCAGCTTTATTGCTTACAAATTTACCGCCGCAAAGTGATGGACAACTGAATAATGCATAAACGAATGAGGCATGCCTCAGTATGAGTAAGTCTTGAGATTTGCACTGACTTAACACTAACTGGAAGATTCCATTTTATATCCTTTCAAAGCACCACTGGAGGAATTTAATAAAACCTTATTGAACATGTAAGTCTATTCTTTCTTAACTGGAGGAAGGTATTTGCTATTCCTATGAACAATATACTAAATCAACTCAGAATTACCTTAACAGCACAATCCTATGCATGTCTACACAGAAATAAGTCTTAGTGAATTAAATGGGACTTACTCCCAAAATTGTGTAAAGGATTGCAGACTAAATTGCTATTCCAGTGTTTTTCAACCAGTGTGCCATGGCACTCTGGGGTGCCTTGAATGATGGTCAGGGGTGCTGCGAGCAACACTGGCCTCTTTCCCTCTTTCCTTCCCTCTGATGCCCTCTTGTGTCTCTGCCTCCCAAAGGCTTGCACAGCTGTTTGCTGCAGCAGCCCTGACTACAAGCTCCACGGGTTACTGGTGCCTCTGGGGCTGGCCAGGAGGTGCTGGTTGCCAGGAGCTGAGGCGGCCTCGGAGTAAGCAGGCAAGTGGGCAAGGGAGCCCAGCCAGCTAGCTCACCAGCCCTTGCTGTTGGGAATGGACAGACAAGTGGGAGGCAGGCAGGCACTGTGCTGGCCTTTCATTTGTTTGCTGTGTGAAAGGCCTGCCTTGGAGCTGAGTGCCTGGTGCTGAAGGGGAGCCTTTCTGCCACGCAGGTCTGGCAGCACCCATTGCTGCCTCCCACGATAAGGTGTTGGCCTCATGTTCAACTTTGGCCAGTCTCTGGTTGGGGTGGGGGCAGCTCATAGACCAAGGGGAGAGGAGAGGAAGCTGAGGGAACACTCCACAAGGTAGGGTGTTTGAAAAATGATGAAAGGCTGACAGCTCTGCAGGCAAGGGGTGACATAACTGGGCTCCCGAGCCCCACAAGGGTGCCACAGAAAGAATGTACTTGGTAAAGGGAGCCGTGAACTGAAAAAGGTTGAAAACCTCTGCTCTAGTCAATTGGCTAACCTTCACTTGCATTTGACCTTAATCTTGTGCCACCTTCCAATATGGATATATAGCATTAATTTATTTTTGGACCATCTACTCCACCCCACCTGAACTTCACAGGATTTCAGTAGGCAAGGGGCGGGGAGACCTCTCCAGAATTGTTTAGAATATTCATAGCAAAATAACTGCTATGCATTCTTCTTCAAGATTAGATTACCTGTTTCATTCGGGTATCTTCCATTTACTTCTTGGTTGCACATCAAATGGCCTTATGATATTGCAGAAAAAGCTTCTCCCACCTCCATTTTTGATCTTGACCATTTGACAAAAGCATGAGAGGCCTCCTTCATAAATAATACATAACATTTGCATAGTGTTCCTTGTGTCCATAGCATTTCATATGCATTATCTAGTTATAATCCTTACAACGGGTAAGTCACTGTAACCAT